GTTATGTATATATATATATATATATATATATATTAGATTTGAGCATCAGATCTCTCTCTCTCTATATTGTTGTTGATGATGATGATGATGATGATGAACAGATCTGTTAAATCTGAATTTTTTTTTTATTTTAAACATTTGATCTCATCAGATCTCTCTACTATGTTGTTGTTGTTGTTGTTATTGTTGATCATGAACAGATTACAGATCTGTTGGATCTATTTTTTTTTTTTGGCTGGGGAATTTTCAGGGTCGGGGAAGCCCGATCCCTGTTAGGGGGCGGGGGCGGGGATGGATATAGGTTCCTCGTCAGGGATCAGGGCCGGGGACGGGGGAATTTCCACCATCGAGGATCGGGGACAAGGGGTGTGATCCCCGACCCCGCCTCACCCCGCCCCATTGCCATTCCTAGGCACGACATTACAAACAATGCCTTAAATTTGGAAATATACTTTGGTATAGTGTAACAACCCTCATACTGTTTACCGATTAATGACTGATTGATTGCCGATAACCATCGATTACCGTTAAACTGAATTGATTATGACTTTTGGAAATTGAGTTTTTATTTTATTTTATTTTTTTTAATGAATATTTTTAAAATTTTAACAATTTTTTTTTTATACTTTTTTAGATACATATTACTTAGATGTATCTACATAGTAAAATATTTGTAAAAAAATATTTTAAAAAATTTATAAATACACAAAATTCAAAAAAACGTACTAATTTTTTTTTTTGATATTTAATGAATTTTTAATTTTTTATAAACATTATATTTTTTAGGTGTGTTTAAAAATTAAAAAAAAATTATTTAAAATATTAAAAAAATTCAGTAAAAATAATAAAATAAAATTTTAAAAATTGAAACACCAATCTGAGGGCACTCTTTGACCAAAAAAACGAGAAAGGTAAATAAGACTCTGGTCCTGTTTGGTGTAGCTGTTGAAACAGATTATAGATTATAGCTTAACATATTATAGATTATGACTTTAATCAGAAGCTGTTAATATAGCGATCCCGGTTCTTCCTCCTTTGGTTGTTGTATCCGGACTTGGTTCCGTGGATGTCAGTTGTGGTTTATATCTTGTTTCCGTCATTCAATACTTTGTATTTGAGTTATAGGATGTTTTGGGCAGGATTGTTACAGGTTGGATGTGATTGGGAGCAAATGGTTGCTGCCCAGAATTTTGGTCCTTCGCTCGAGCGAGCCTTTTGTCGCTCGAGCGAGCTCTGTGTTATAGATCCTTCGCTCGAGCTAGGGTTCCTTCGCTTGAGTGAGAGTTGAGTTTTGTATCTGGTGGCTCATGCGAGAAGTTCTTCGCTCGAGCTTGCGCCTGCGTTTGGTTCTGGACCTGAAGGTTGCAATTCTTCGCTCGAGCGAGCATTTTGTCGCTCGAGCGTGCTTCTGGGTTGCAGACCTGAAGCTTCAAATTGTTGGCTCGAGCGAGGCTTTCTACGCTCGAGCGAGGGTTCTTTGTGTCTGGTTGCTCGAGCGACCAATCCTTTGCTTGAGCGAACCTGTGTTATATCAGCAGACAGCAGCGGGATTACACTTCACTTTTTCATCTCCTCTTTTGTATAAACCCTAGATCCGGCTGCTCCTCTCTCTACATCTACCTTCTTTCTAGGGTTTCATCTATTTTTAGTGTGTTTCTACCCTAAGTTCTTTGTAAGAAAGATAGAGGGTTGTGTAGGCTACGTTTTAATCTGAAAATTTGTGGATTTGGAGCACTTTGGATTTTCACCATCTTCTCCTTTGGTCTCTCCATTTCAAGATATGGATTTCCTACTCTATTCTATGAGTTTTAACATAAATTTTGGTCATTTCGATTAGTTGGTGTTGTTGGGAAAAGTTAGGGTTTGTTGTGTAAATTTGAAAGAGGGGTTTTGTGTTTCAAAAACTCCATATGTATATGAAACCTTGGGAAATGGTACTATTGTTGTTAAATAAAAGAAATTGAGCCTTAGGGTCAATAGTTGAGAAAAAGGGAAAAATTCCCTAATTGTGTTGATTAATTAATTTGTGGAAACATGAAATTGAATTGAGGATAATGAAATTGAGAAATTATGGGATTAAATGGTGTAGTTGGATTAGTTAATCACTCACCTATGAGAATGTGGATATTATATCTGTTTGCTGCATTTATTATCTGTTTAGAAATAATTGTTTTGGGCTATCAGTGGAGGATAGTCTTGATTGTTATAGACATTGTATGTTGATTAGGGAAAACTGAAACTAATCACATTGAATATGTCATTGAATATGACGGTTGAATTAATACAGCAAATATGTGTATTGATTGATTATTGTGTATGACAAGTGTTAAATACATTGTATATGCATATTGTTTGGGAGAAGAAAGGGGATGTACTCCATGGTTTGAGAGGAGATAGGGGATGGACTCCATGGATACAACAAATATGTGTATCACTTGAAGTGTTAATACAGCAAATGTGTATATTAAATTGAAATATTGGAAGTGTTTTTAATGTGAGTTGTAGACTCATTTGAATTGTGAATAAAGGAAATTTTTTAATATGGAATGTATTCCCATTAATTGTTGGCCAGGTTCTGAGCCATGTTTATGAAATGATTTGGATAAGTAGAGGAAAGTGGAATGTAACATGGACATGAAAGTCATGAAGCTATATTGTGATATAAATTGGTTTATAAGTGTTAACCATCTATCAAATACTCTTGTTTTAGTTATCTCTCATACTTGGTTTAGTACATCTCTACTGGGTTTTGGCTCACCTTATATGGGACATCATTTTCAGGTTCATGTGATATGCCACCTCCAAGGATGTAGCTTGGGAGGCTTGAGGCTGATAGACCTTTTTTGTTGCTCTTTTGATATTACATGTAAATTCAGGCCAAGGTCTTAATATGTATTAGCGTTAATACTCTCTTTTTGTAACCAAGTGCTGACTTGGAAAGTTGTAAGCCTAGAGGGCATTTACTTTTGTTGTCAACATGTAATATCTTTTGTAAGAATACTCTGATAAATAGAATTATGCTTTATTCTCTTAAGTTTATAGATGTCTTGAATGTGGGTTTATATGTATTATTTTGAGGGCGTTACAGTTAATCTGTTTGGTGTAACTGTTGGATTATAGATTTAAGTTGCTGAGTATTGTTTGTTAAATAAGCTGTTAAGTAGCTTTTTTAATTAACTTTTATTTTTTATTATTCACTATTTGTCTACATTTCTCATAAATAATAATAATAATATTCTATAGTCCATTTGGGTCTTTTTCTATTTTTAAAAAAATAAAAAATAAAAAAATCTAAGATTATAACCATGAATTAACATGTCCATAGCAGAAGCTGATAATCAGAAGCAAGGGGTGACCAGCTTATCAGAATCAGCTTTTTTGACATAAAATAAGTTGTTAGAATCAGAAGTTGTTTGAAATAAGTTTAACCAAACAGTCAAAAATAACTTTTTAAAAGTCAGAAGCCATAAGTTGGCTAAAAAAAGCCCCACCAAACACCCTCTCTCTCTCTCTTCCTCCCTCTCTCCCTCCTCTCAATCCGCAACTACCACACGGATAAGGACCCTTCCTGATCCTGACACTATTCTCTCTCTCTCTCTCTCCCTCTCTCTCTTCGTGTATCATTATTGTAAGGGAAAATTACAAATACCCCCCTCGAGATTTAGCAAAATTACAGATACCCCCCTGAGATTTGAGAAATTGCAGATACCCCCCTTTAAGGTACTATTTGCATAACAAATTAGGGGTAAATTGTTATGAAAATATAAACGTTAGGGGGGTATCTGTAATTTTCGAAACCTCAGGGGGATATTTATAATTTAGCTAAACCTTGAGAGAGGTATATGTAATTTGCCCTTATTGTAATGAGTCCGGATCCTCTCCAGCCTTCCTCTCTGGTCAATGACCAGGATTTGGCCACGTCACCCTTAACAAAATCTAAGGTTCAGATTAGCTAAAATAAAATAAATAAAATTTTTTGCTATATTGCTTGCTCTCTCTCTCTCTTTTTCTTCTCCTCTCTTCTTCGTCTCTCTGTTCTCAATAGTCGACAACAACAACCGATCTACGCTGCCGACGACCAATCACTCTTCTCTCTCCCTCCATCCTTCGTCTCTTCCCAACAGTGGCCGATCTAAAATATGCAAATTTATCACCAAAGTTTCAGAGATTTAAAAAATCATGATTTAAAAAATCTACAAATCTTTTCTTTGAATCATGGATTAAATCATGATTTAAAAAATCTGGTTTTGTTTAAAAGTTAAAATCCCAGATTCAAAGAAACAGTTGGGTGTTAAAATCATGGGTTGAAATTTAACAGCTTTTAAAATCATCAAATGTTAAAATCATCAAGTCACAAATTTGAAGAGTTATTGAAGAAGATTGGGGGAGGGTGGAGAGTTATTGATTTGTACATGGATTTTGCTCTAAAAAAATTCAGATCTAGAAGAATGGGGGAGGGTGGTGTTGGATCGGCTGAAGCTAGTAAGGGTGGAGGTGGGGAAGAGGAGTCCGGCGGGTCGCGGTGGTACGTGAGGGTCGCCGAAGGGTTTGGAAAAACTGAAGACCCAAATCTGCCATGAATGTGAGAGGGAAAGAAGAGTCAAAGCACTTGTGAACACACGAACTGTCCAAAGCTTCTTGAAATTCAATTTTTTTTAGCTAATCTGAGCCTTTGATTTTGTTAAGGGTGACATGGCCAAATCCTAGCCAATGACCGGAGGGAGGGCTGGAGAGGAAGGCTGGAGACGATCCGGATTCTATTGTAATGCCATTCCCTACCATTGAGTCCAGTCAAATCACAGATTAGGTAAGATAGAAGAATTAGAACAACAACACATATACACTTCTGTTTTCCAAAATCCCCAATTTGGGTTTTCTTTTTCCCATGCAAACCCATTTCATTTCTTTTCATTTCTAGTTAAAAAAAAAAATAAAAAAAAGGAACCATTTCATTTCATCTGAGATTGATATTGTTTAGAGCGATTGGTTGTGAGGTGAGAATGGCGAGGGCAGTTGTTGGGGGGAGTGGTTGTGGTGCGTCTTCTTCTTTTTCTTCTTCTTGGGTTAATAATTTGATTAAGAAGAAGAAGAAGAACAGTGACACCAAGAGAGTTAGGGTTTGTTGTGTTTTATCTAATGCTTCGGCCGTCACGGCTGATCCGTACAAGACACTGAGGATTCAGAGAGGTGCTTCTGAATCTGAGGTCAAGAAAGCTTTCAGACAACTTGCTCTCCAGGTTTAATTTCTCTTTTCTTTCTTATGTTTAAATCCTATTTATTATAATTTCACTTTGCTTTCAATTTCATGTTTTTAAATTTTATAAAAGCTAATCAAAAAGTAATTTTAAGATAATTAGACTGACTTTTCTTATCGAAACTAATACATATATACTAAAGGCACCGTTTGGGAAGGAAAACTTGGGCTAATTTAGCCACGTCTCGACAAATTAGGCTGATTCAGCCACGTCCAAACAAAATGGGTTTCACGGGTATGTTTGAAACCCTTATTGGTGTAAATTTATCAAAATGCCCTGAAGAGAACCCTCTCAATCTGAGGGACAACGCCTCATCCAAAACATACACACCCTTCCGAAAGCTGAGAAGAACAAGCGAAATAGGCGATTCGGAAAGACCAACGGTGACGACGACATCTGAACGACCTTCGTAGAGGTGATCGACACCGGAGTTCGCATCCGCGGCGGCGAACAAGAACCAACCCTCTCAAACACAAATTGATCTGCAGGTAATGTTTTATGGCCTATATGATTTCGTTTCCCTGCTTCCGATCTGCATAGTATGGGTTCATAACGGCATCGGTTCATGACTAATATGTTTCTTTACGGTCGTGATTGGGTTGATTACCCTTACATTACACATATTTGGGACAGCTAGATATATAAGTATATATATATATATATATCTCTATGAAAAATTATTTCGGATCTGTTCTTATGTTAAAAATCTGTTCGGTTATCACGGAATGTTACGGTTACAGCTCACACATTTGGGGCAGATATGTATATATATATATATATAAATATATCTATTCTTATTTATGTATCTGTTCTTATTTATGAAAATCTGTAAAATCTGTTCGGTTTGGGTTCATTACGGTTTGTAACAAACACATTTGAGGCAAATATATATATAATTTAATATATATATGTTATTATTTATATATCTGTTCTTATATGAAAATCTGTAAAATCTGTTCAGTTTGGGTTCATTACGGTTACATTTCACACATTTGGGGCAGATATATATCTGTTCTTATATATAAATCTATTTGGTTTGAAGGCAGATATATGTATCTGTTCTTATATTTTCATGTAGATCAACCTATGGTAAAAAAACAGTCATTTTCATATTCAACCTGTTCTGTTCTTGGCACCTGTTCTGTACAAAACAGTCTGTTCTGCAAATTTTTTTTTTCTTAGAAGTCACATTACAAATTATCAATTTCAGATCACAATTTCACATTTATGGCATTCAACTGCTGACTGATGACATCAATTCTGTGAATGAATATCAATTTCTATTACAAAATTCTGTTGATTACTTAGCACTGTCATGATAAACTTCATTTAAAAATCTGTCAATTACCTATTGATGAGTTATGAAATGGTCTGTCAATGAATAAGGGAAACACATGATCTGAATGGGTTCTGTCATTTGTGAGTCAATGCTGGAGACAATGTCTCAATCTGTGAAATACCTATTGATTTGAAGAAAATTGAATTACCTATTGATTTGTCAATGGAGAAAAAAATTTGAAAATCTCTCTTCCAAAAAACACTCCTCACAGGCAGTCTTCATTCTTAAATAAATGACACATTTTTGGGTTGTCGTTATTGAACTTCAATTCTTCAAACGCTGTTACGTTCATTATGTTACATGCGGATAAAACCCTCTACTTTCTTCATTCATATCTATCTTCATTGAAAGCTAATACAGAAACCAGTTCAATATAACTCTATCTCAGTTGATCTAGCCTAAGCATATAGAAATTAATGCTGTATTTTTCATTCAAAAAAGTAAGTCTAATTTGTGTGTGCATGTGGAGACAAACTTTAATCTTCAAAATTATTGATATGAATACACTATTCGGAAATTAAAAAAAACATCAGAACAGAATAATAATTATAATACTAATAAGTAGTAAAAAAGTAATAATATAATTTCATCATGAATTCTTTATCTCAGTCATGTAAACACAGGGTGTTCATGCCCTGTTGTTATGTTCATTAAAATCTAAATTTACCAAATTATAGATTTACCGTTCTATTACCACCTTCACACTGAAACCAAGAGAATGAAGACTGCTTTTCCTTAAAATAAACGGAAGGAAGTTGAAGTTTGTCTACGTATCCATTGAAAAGATGTACTAACATTGTATTCAGAAAATATTTAACCTGATACACATATAACATAAACTAATTACTTACATGATTCATTGTCTGTATCGATTGTCTGTAAATCACAGCATGGCTTCGTTTACCTTTACTGCAACTTCCAGTACATGGCCACAATGAATGTGTGCCTGTGGACATGGCCCTTGTTTTGTTAAGATTTCCAGGTCCGCTAAAAATCCAAGCCGTCCCTACTATGCATGTCCCCGCCCTGTGGTGAGTCACCCATTCTTTACCGGTTATAACTGTATGAACATTAACATCCCATTCACTAATAGTTTCATTATGTGCACTGATCTGCCCTGTGTCAGCTGGATTGGTTGGTGCGAAGAACCAAGGCCAGACAACCAAGACTATGTGTCACCCAGAGACAAACTTGTCATGCAATTGCGGGCTAACGTCATAAACATTCAACAATCCTTGTGTGTCCTTAAGACCATTGTGTATGTGCTATGCATTGTTGTTGTCATTTTGTTGTTCCGTATGTAAGAAAGGTTAGGATGTTGTCAGTATGTACAAACACGTTAGGACGTTGTTAGCATGTTCGTAGTATGTTCTAGTATGACTTTAAGCTGCCTTTGCCTTTGTTAGTACGAAATGTAACGATGTATTAATGAATATCATAACTATGTCCACTATTTAGTTCCATGGAACCTGTGTACGTATGTTATTGCTGTGCAATGGTTATATGCTCCCTAATTTAGCATCCTATCTCTCTGTTTCTTGTTAGTAATGTGTAATGGATTACGCATTTGTATGTAACAACTGAATTTTTGATGGTAATCTTCTGTAACCGTACATTAGTAATGGCTTCCACACGTACTTCTCCACGTACCCAATCGAAAAGCAAAGGCATTGTCACTAACAAGTCAAGCAGTCTTGAAGAGACACATTAGTTCAGCCACAAGGCCTCATGGGACAGTCACTTAATCTGAGTTTTCCTGCAGTTGATTGCAAATGAAATTACTAAAGGAAATCGCCCATTCCTAGTCCTCAGCCAAGCAGGGTACAAGTCCTTGGCAAGGAAATTTGAGAAAAAAATAGGAAGAAAACATGGACTGAAACAGTTGAAGAATAAGTACATGAGCTTGAAAAAAGAGTGGCAAGCGTGGACAAAGTTGATGGATTCAAGCAAAGGAGTGTCAGGGATAGGCTTTGACAGTGACACCGGTATGTTTCAGGCACCTGAGGAGTGGTGGGACAAGATGGAATCGGTAAGTACATGTACAAACAAGCTTCATATTTGTCATTTACCAGTACATTTTGTACTTGTTTAGTTAGCTTTTAATTAATTTTATGAAATGTAACATCTTCCTCTGTCATATATCTCTATTTCTGCAGATAAACAAGGTGTGCGCCAAGTTCAGAAAAAAAAACCTTGGAACATCGTGAGTTGATGGAAACTGTCTTCATGGGGGCATCAGTTATTGGGAAGCACCATTGGACCCCGGGAGAGAAACTTCCTGAAGCTGCTGATGACTCATCTGATTCAGTGCATAGTTTGGGAGCCCAGCCATTTCCAAATCCGATACCCGCAGGAGTACAGGACATGGATTCAGATTATTCACTGGAGCATGTTCTGATTGAAAATGGGAAAAGGAGAAAGACGCCATCAACAAGTGTTTCAAAGTCGAAGAAGGCAACAAGTGGAGCGTCAGTTATTGCGGAAAGCATGAACAATCTGACAGATGTGGTGCGTACGAAGAATCTACTATGCATGTCCCCGCCCTGTGGTGAGTCACCCATTCTTTACCGGTTATAACTGTATGAACATTAACATCCCATTCACTAATAGTTTCATTATGTGCACTGATCTGCCCTGTGTCAGCTGGATTGGTTGGTGCGAAGAACCAAGGCCAGACAACCAAGACTATGTGTCACCCAGAGACAAACTTGTCATGCAATTGCGGGCTAACGTCATAAACATTCAACAATCCTTGTGTGTCCTTAAGACCATTGTGTATGTGCTATGCATTGTTGTTGTCATTTTGTTGTTCCGTATGTAAGAAAGGTTAGGATGTTGTCAGTATGTACAAACACGTTAGGACGTTGTTAGCATGTTCGTAGTATGTTCTAGTATGACTTTAAGCTGCCTTTGCCTTTGTTAGTACGAAATGTAACGATGTATTAATGAATATCATAACTATGTCCACTATTTAGTTCCATGGAACCTGTGTACGTATGTTATTACTGTGCAATGGTTATATGCTCCCTAATTTAGCATCCTATCTCTCTGTTTCTTGTTAGTAATGTGTAATGGATTACACGTTTGTATGTAACAACTGAATTTTTTATGGTAATCTTCTGTAACCGTACATTAGTAATGGCTTCCACACGTACTTCTCCGCGTACCCAATCGAAAAGCAAAGGCATTGTCACTAACAAGTCAAGCAGTCTTGAAGAGACACATCAGTTCAGCCACAAGGCCTCATGGGACGGTCACTTAATCTGAGTTTTCCTGCAGTTGATTGCAAATGAAATTACTAAAGGAAATCGCCCATTCCTAGTCCTCAGCCAAGCAGGGTACAAGTCCTTGGCAAGGAAATTTGAGAAAAAAATAGGAAGAAAACATGGACTGAAACAGTTGAAGAATAAGTACATGAGCTTGAAAAAAGAGTGGCAAGTGTGGACAAAGTTGATGGATTCAAGCAAAGGAGTGTCAGGGATAGGCTTTGACAGTGACACCGGTATGTTTTAGGCACCTGAGGAGTGGTGGGACAAGATGGAATCGGTAAGTACATGTACAAACAAGCTTCATATTTGTCATTTACCAGTACATTTTGTACTTGTTTAGTTAGCTTTTAATTAATTTAATGAAATGTAACATC